AAGAGAGAATAGCAGTTAGATGACCTCCTCCAAGAATATATCAAAAGGCATAGGTTTTAAAAGGGTTTTGATATGCTTGTGTAAATCTGAGTTTTATGAATGCAAGTGATAGATAACTCTGCAGCGCTATCAAATTAAAGATATAAATACCCACTGTCTTGAAAAACGTGTTCTGTTGTAGCTCTCACCCTGTCATATTTAAGACTCTTATGGCAGGTTTTTTTCTAGACTTGCTACTCATAAAGCCTGCTCCATGTTTTTGAGAAGAACTAGCAAATTTACTATTTGGAACTTTTGCTCAAGTGTAGATAACACCACAGGTTGAACCTCTGTAAAGTCTGTATTGAGCTCCAGGGTGTCACGTCTGTATCAGGTTTTCCTCTAACAAATCCTGTCAGTCAGCTCACCACACTCTAAGGAAGCAGCAACACGAGGCACATCTCCCTATCTCTTACATGCCACGCATCTCCAAAGTGCCGCTTTTTGTCCACCCATCCACCCCTACACACCTTTCTTATCTGTGAGTCACCACTCAAACCACCCACGCAGTACCAGACTGTTATTTCAAGAAGTTTCTACCCTCTCTTTTCAATTTGCACATGCAGTTCCTTGTGATTCTTTTAACTCTCTGATTTCTTTTGGATCCTCCTAATCTTTAGTCAGGAAAAACCATTGATGCTGTATTGGATTAAAACAATGTTGTAAAAAGGTTTGTTTTCAAAACTGCTATCTGAGATGGTAGGACTTTAAAGATACAGTAATACCACATGAAAAACAGTATCAGCTTCCCTTGTAGCCACATAATAAAGAATTATACCCAATCTTCAGCAAAACAGAAAATCCAATGAAACTTGCGTAGGTTAGACACAGCAGTAACACACTGAGGTAACACTCGAAACACAGAGCCTTAAATTTTGAAATCCCTCTTTCTTTCTGACTTGCACAATTCATTTGAGACACAATTTAACCACTTTTCCAATCATTCCTTAACTCTTGCCCTATGCCTGCTGAATAAATGCAGATCGTGCTGCATTCCTTGAACAATCAGCCTTTGCTTTTCATTTAAATGATCAGCCTTAGTGCACAGTTGCAATTCCAGAAATGGTATTAAACATGAGCATTTGTTGTGCACCAAAAAGCCTCCAAAATTCATGCCAGTTTGAACCGTCATAAAACCCTGTGACTGTCCAGTCAAACACACCAGGGGCATTTATGAAAAACAAGCACCAAAGCACAAAAGCAGAGGCAGGAATTCTGCTTTTTGGTGATGCAGTGGTGCTGGGATGCAGGTTTGGGGTGGAGGGGCACATCCTTTCCTGGGCAAGAGGGACAGATGGTTCATCGGTTGGCTCCAAGCAAATACATAGAATTTACACAAACCACACACCTGACTGTCAACAGAGCTCCTACAAAACCACACTTAAAAAGAGTCTTTTTGAGCAAATGACTCTACATCTGAAACAACGTTTCCATAAAGAACCTCATCCTGCAGGCAGAAACATTTCATGACACTTATCAGTGCTGGAAAATTGCTTACCTGTGACGATAGGATAGGACTGAGGCCCAGGGACACTTGCTCCCAAATCCGCAGAAGTAGGGCTGGTTATATTGGCCTTCATGTCATCCAATCCACCAGCTAGCGAGGCCATGCCTGAGTATTCAGTTGCCTGGAAAAAGAAACAAAAGACATTTTAGTGACAACAAATTTACCATTCAAGAACTTTTGCCTGTGCAAGAGAAAGTAGATACAATACAGAACTCAAAAATCCTTTGTTCAGCCAGTTTTAAAGGAAATGCCCTTTTACACAGGGCTTTTCAGCATTCAAACTGCTCGATAAGTGGGCCTGTGCTTATCATCAGTGTTCTCAGAGAACACCAAAGTGAGATTTCTTTACGAAACCAAAGCCAAACTCATCAATATGTAGCAGGGCTTTCCTGAAAGAGGAAATTTTGTAGAGTAACTGCCAAGTGCAAGTTACTTGCTTGTTAGAGGAAAATGTCTGTGACTGTTAACCTGAGCTCTCTGTATTTCAGTGGTGGCACTATGGGGGACACGCACTAACGAGCAGATGGGAATGGGGTGTCCCATTTCCCCTCTTTTCTTGGGAATGTCTCATTTCTTCATCATCTCACAAGAGCAGACATACACATACCAACACAAAGAGTTTGCTCAATGGATGGATTCGTAGTCAACTGCTTCTATATCCAAATTACCTATAAGTAAGTCACCTTACTGTGGTAAGGAATCTGTATCATCTCAAGGGAATTTTTTCATCCCACTAGCCAAAGCTATGGTAAATGAGCACAGGTCCTCAGAAATCAGATTGTTTGTGTCCTATAACCCTGTTTAAGTCCCTGAAGCTACAGCAATCTACAAGGCCAATCCATGCATCTAACGGATGGGCATGTACATGGCACGAAGCTTATCTTCATTTGTCTTTTTCCATTATATCTTATTGTCAGGATCATTCACACAAACTTTCCAAGTTCTCCCTTCCCTGCTGCTATTTGCCATTTAAGTCTTAATCCCTTATTTGTCAGATGGCAATCATGCCGGTAACAACTAGAGGATGATGACTTCAAGTGAAGAACAGCAACAAAAACAGATAAACTGAAGAGAAACTACTCCAAGGCCAATCCCAGCTGAATTCCTGAAGACTAAGTCAATGCAGAAGCTGTGCAGAGGTGAAGAAATGCAGGGGAACACAGGACCACATGGAGGTTTTTTGGAGACAAAACAAAAATCAGAATCACAGACTGGTTTGTGTTGGAAGGGATGTTAAAGACATCTCATTCCACTGCCTGCCATGTGCAAGGGACACCTTCCACTAGACCCGGTCGCTCCAAGCCCCGTTCAACCTGACCTTGAACACTGCCAGGGATGGAACATCCAAAAATGTTAACTTTTTTTAAGGAAAGAAATCTGATCTGAGTGACTACAACTTTCTCCCTCTTGCCAGCTTCTCTGAGAACCTAGCACACAATCTGGTGTTCGCCACTAACTCAGTACTTTGGGTCAAATATACCTGTTAGTGTCTCTGTTGCTCAGCTCTGACTCAAACAGAAGTTAACTGACATGGACAACCCAGTTTTAGCAGGTCTGCATAATAAAGATGTTTTTCTGCAGTTGCCACCTGTGTGAGGCAGAGGTACAGCCTGTCACCTTGAAGGATCACCCATGCAAACCTCTTGCAGATGAGTGTGCCAAACACGTTTTGCCAGGGACCAGCTGCCAACCACCCATGGATCAGAGTCCTCTGACCTGTCTCTTACGCACCTTCCTAACCTTTGTATTAAAACTGTGCTGTTTCTGAGCCCTTTCAGCTCATTCCTCCTCTGACATCCTCTGTGTCCTCATTCCTGCCTTGCCTTCATGTGCCCAGCTCCTTTCTTCTGCCACCACTGCTTCCAGATGCCCATACCTCTGCCCTATCCCCACTTCTGCCCCTCAGGGTGGACAACCAGGGTACATTCCCCCTCTGTGGAGGATGCTGGTGATGGTCCCAGCCTTCCTCCTTCCCACAACTGCTACCAAGCTCCTTGTTCTCACATCACGTCCCATCAAGGTGCATTCCTGAGCCTTCACACACCACTCCACCATCTCCTACCTCTCCAATCCCACCTTCACCCATGCAGAGTACTTGCACATGTGGAGGCACTGCTGGCGTTTTTCCTTCCCCAAAACCCTGATCCAACAAGACATCAGAGAAACAAAAGCCCTGCAGACATCCTGGGCAGCTGGTGATAAACAAGCATGGACATGCTGGCAGTGCAGTAGAGGAAAAAGCTGTCCTTGTGTGCTGCTGTTTGGTATTTCTGATACCTGGAAAAGGGCACACACCAATCCCTGGGGAAGGATGCTTAATTTCACCCATGCTGCTCTATGAAAGATGTAAACACACTATATCAAGACTAGAAAACATCCTTGTGCCCTCACAAGGGGGGTGTTTCCTATGGCCGGGGAGTAAATGTGGCTTCCAGCTTACAAAGTGGGAGCTGGACACCTTTAGGTTGGGACAAAGCATCCAGCTGTGCCACAGCCTTGGTCACAAGAGGGGACTGGTGCAGGGGACACATATCCAAACCCTGCAGCCAAAAGTAGCTTTTGGAACTCCTGTTCCTTGCACAAACCCAATCAGGATCAGCCTGAGCTACCGCTTGCGAATCCCAGACATGTGAGTCCGTGTAATTCCACTGCTTTCTTACATGGGCCCGAGGAACTGGCCCTGGGGGAAGGAGAACCAGTGTCTTAACTGTGATGACCTGGAAGCACCAGGCCAACAAGCCATGATCTACCCTTTCAGCTCAGAGAGACTGACCAGTTCCACTGTCAGAAGCAGAAAGTGATCAAGATATAACACACCCCACCAGGGGCCAGGATGGTGGTACCCTGTGCTCTTCCACGTCACCTCACCACAGGGAGTTGGAGCAATGTGCAGTGGCGCAGCTCCAAACTACAGAACCACATCTGTGGACAGGATGGACTGGAAGCATTACAGTTAGGGTAACTGTGGCACACTGTGGAGGGAGAGCCACAGCCAGGCAGCACTGCAGCAGAAATGAGAAGGCAGGAGGTAGAGACATGCAAAATGGAGATCTCTGCTTTTGGCCCCAATAACTTGCTGCAGACAGGAGCTGCACCTCTTTTGCAATGGCCCAGGCACTTTTCCCAGAGATAAGAATAGCAGGATTTTCAGGGGTTTTCCAGCTGCTTTCCTGTGCCCACATCCCTCCTTGGAGCCACCAGCAACTGATCACCAGCAGCCATATAGATCAAGCACAGTGCACTGCTTCCAGCACCCAAACAGATGGATTGCCGGCCAAGGGGCAGCCCTGATGGCTGCTGATCCCCCCTCTCCTCATGTAGTCCAGTGGAGGAGTGACCCCGCATGTCACACACACCTCTGCAGTCACAGGTCCCTCTGCAAAGCAGCAGGGACCTTGTCAGGGCCAGCACTGGCACAGTGGCACCAATCAGCACTTGGCTGTGGGCAGAGAAGGAAACACACTATTGTCAACAGCAAGGCACTGTGGGGAGGTGATGGTCAGCAGAGGCATCTTCTGGTCCCACGGAGCAGACAGCCAGGGGTACAGAGCAGAAGAGCCTCCACCCCAAAACCAGCCAGTCTGCAGCCCTCCTCACCCCATGGAGGAGGCAGGTTACCCCAGACCCCCCTGAAGAAGCACAAACCTC